TATCACATTAGACAACCAGGTATCTGCTGATCACAGAGATTAAAATACTATCACATTAGACAACAGGGTATCTGCTGATCAAGGGAAATGACATCCAAAGCTGTTCTGATACAGAAAAAAAGTACAGTGGCTTTTTAAATAATTTCAAGCCATGTGAAAGAGTAAATAATAAAATGAATGTTAATGATCAAGAAGTTGGTGAGGGAAATTTGAATTGCAAGGTGCTGCTGTCTCAATGACATATAATTTTTGTGAATTTATCCAGTAAAGCAAGTGTTATTGCTTTTTATTGTCCTTTTAAATTTAAAAGTCTGTAACATATTTGGTTTCATTCAGACTCAGTGTTGGTTATTTGAGCATATACTTTTACAGCTGTGAATGTTGAAGCACAGTCTGTGGTATGATATGACAGAACTAAACATCTGTCAAAAACTACCACTCTTCCATCAGATTGACATGATACACTGACTTGTTGAAAGCATTGCAATCTGTGACTTTCGTCACATGGGTGGCTGTTTAATTAAAGTAGATCGTATGAAATCCCACATGATTGTAAGATTGGGTTAGAAATCAAGCATGCTATGTTGGGAGGGTGAAGACTTTTTGTCTTGAAATTTCATTGTTACAGTTAATATAATTGAAAAGAATATGAATCACGTATTGTAATACCTCTATTAATTGAACTTTGAGAAAAGTATAAAACTCACATACCATAATACCTCTATTAATTGGACTTTGAGAAACGTATAAAACTCACATACCATAATACCTCCACTAATAGGACTTTGAGAAATGTATACAAGTTGTGTACCATAATACCACCATTAAATGAACTTTCAGAAACATACTCACGCTGCATACCGGTGATACCTCAATTAATTGGTCTTTGAGAAAAATATACAAGTCGTGCACTGCAATCTGCCCATTAATTGGACATTGAGAAAAGTGTATGAGTCGCATACCGTAATCCCTCCATTAATGGCATCTTTAGAGAAGAATACAAGTGGCGTGCCATAATCCCCTTCCCTAAATTAGACCTTGAACAAATGTTTTTTGGAGGTGGCTTAATTTTAACTGAGAAGAAACACTAAATTATATTGTATTATAGTGGGTCTAATCAGTGTTAACATGATTGTATAATTACACTTTTTTATTGGAGGTAATTTCAAACATAATTGAAATAGTATTATACTAGTTTTATTGTCACCAAGTGCATTGATAGCATTTGAATGTGGCCATTCCCTGTCAGGTGCTTGAATTACTAGTATCTATAAAATGATATCAACAATTTCACTTGTGTGTCTTCTTATCAAAATGCATTCTAATCCAAAGTATAGTCAAATGAAATGATAAATGCACCTTGGCGCTACTCTGCTATGTAAATGTGTACTGTAAATTCAGTTACTTGATGAAGGAAATTACACACGTATAAGTTTTTATAGAATTAACTTTAGAATCAGAAAAGTTTGTTGGTCATTAGATAATTTCACTTTTGATTTTACAGATTGTTATTGAAGTAATCAAAGAACCTCGCAATGGTAAAGTCGGTCTTGGTTTCAGCATTGGTGGCGGAATGATCAAGATCCATCCAAGAATCCGATATCCCCAAATGATAATGTAAGTCCATCACTCTGTTATAGCGCCCTCTCTAGTTTGAGCTCTTAAGAACTTTTGTTTCTGTGAGATGGTGTTCTTAAATTCACAAAGTCATTTCATCAAGGGGGAGGGCTTGTTGTTTAAGTGAAATAAAGTGGTCTCTTTGTGGTGTGAGAAATAATAATAAAATGAATGAAAAAAACACAACATATGTTTAGTAGCACATATACCCACCAAAATAACTGCTGTCAAAATATGTCTAAAAATTATTATTTCATTATATGGCATATTTCTGCTTTCTATAAAAAAAAATGTTCTTAAATAATTTTTGAGCCAGTCAACATTTCCAGCAATGAAGTCACTGCTGTCACTCCTGATATTTTTGTCTTGGTTGCAACCGTACTTGCAATTGAATGTGTGCAAACAAGTCTCCTAAACATAATACCACATGTTTGAAAGGTGGGGAAGACAACACTCAAATTTATACTACAAGGTGAACAGTTAGCTCGGGGGAATTGAACTTGGAACCTTACTGATGCTAGGTGAACTACTGTACCATCGCCCATGTCTATTTTTTGCAAGGCTGTAGGTTTAACAGCAGCTTCCCTAGACCATAGTGAAAAACATTTTGTCAATAAAACAATGCTGTTTTTAGTTCCGTTGTTGACAGAGCTATTTATATTTTTGAATGTCGTTCTATCATCACCATTCATCATCATAATGAGCTTAACATTTTTCGCTTCTTTTTCATGAAAACTTCAGCTGTATGTTTTTGATAGATTGCTGTTTTTGACTTCTAGTTATTAGCTATCTCGATTGCATTTAATATATTATATCAGGTTTTTTTATTTTAATTTTCTATGTTCTATGTCCGATAAATAATTAAATAAAAATCTTCTCAAAACTTTATTCTTATACTCTGTAGGGCATTTTTGTAACGAATGTTGCGCAGGGCGGTCCTGCTGACAGGGCTGGACTCAGATACGCAGACAAAATACTAGAGGTAGGTTGAAAAATAATTTCTAGTCAGTCTTCGAATTCCTCAAGTGTGATTATAATCTAATTTGTGTTTTATGTACAAGGAGTCAATGCAAAGCAACTTAAGGGATTGTGCCTAATTGGCTAACCCAACCCTATGGAGTAACATTGAAGAATAACTTGATTACATTAAAGTTACATTGATGAACCAACAGAAAATAAATAGGTCTGTCATTAGGATGTTCTACCTATCACAACTACAGTTCTGACCAATCATGGCAGATCTTGTATAATTCAGACAAATCATGACAATTATATGACTTTTGAAACCTCTATTACGATTCCGACCAATCATAGAAACCGTTCTTTCTGTCATGTCCCATCTTGTATCTGATTCAACTAGAAGCATTAGATTACAGAAGCTCTTGCCTCTGTGACATTTCGTTTTAATGGTAATTTTTTTTTAAATTTTAATTTTTAGGCAAATGGTTTTGATTTAACCATGGCAACGCATAAACATGCTGTAAAATTACTGTCGAAAGAGAGAGAGCCAAGAGTTGTAATGAAAGTTACAAGACCAGGATTGGTTCCACCGCACTGATCTATTGCCTTTGTAAAAAATTTTCCTCATCAAATAGCGGAACTTATTGCCATGCCAGCTTACCAGACAAGAAACACATAGCAAAGCCAATTTATTATATAAATCCAGCTCTGTCCAAATCAGTGGCTTTTTCTCACTTCTCATTGGTCAGTGACTGACTGCATGCCAGGTGTTACTGTTTCATCAACCAATAGTTTTGGACAATGAATTTTTGCTGAAACTTTTATAAGATAAAATGTTGCAAGCAATTTTGATAATTCTAGATGCAGATAATATATGGTGTATATAAAGGGTGTTTGGTCATCTTATTGTCACAGTGAAGCTACAATCTGATTAAAATGAGATGTATTGTAAAAGTGGTTTGTGTCTTCTCAGCTTTTACCCTGTCATATATATCTGACAAACAATAGAAAATCTTAATTTTCACAATTGCTTCTAAACCAATCAAAAAACGTTTTACTTCTAGAATGTACCTGCATTATATTGCACACACATCATAATGCATTTTGATTGGATGTTGTGAGATTTAAATGAGCTATGGGAGTTGATCAGAAGATCCTAAATCATGGAAATGGCGAAAAATGAAAATTTATACTCAAAACCCAAAACAACAAATAGATATTATTTTAATCAGATTGATTCAAGCTTTTAATTCTTTGAAGAGGATCTAATCAAAAGTACTGTAAACTGCTTTAATTTCACAGTGGAATTGTTACTATGGCAACTTTTGTGCTGGTCCCAATTGGTTTTATCAAATTATCAATCAGCAAACATTTTTAGAGAATCAAATATTGGTGGTATATTGATGCAGTTTTCTCAATAGTTTATCAATAGTCACATTTGTCGATATTCACATTGTCAATATTCACATTTGTCGATCTTCACATTTGTCGATCTTCACATTTGTCAATATTCCTATTTGTTGGCATTATTTGTCAATATTCACATTTGTCAATATTCACATTTGTCGATATTCTCATTTGTTGATATTCACATTTGTCAATATTCACATTTGTCGATCTTCACATTTGTCGATCTTCACATTTGTCAATATTCCCATTTGTCGGCATTGTTTGTCAATATTATTATTTGTCAATATTCACATTTGTCGATATTCTCATTTGTTGATATTCACATTTGTCAATATTCACATTTGTCAATATTCACATTTGTCGATCTTCACATTTGTCAATATTCCTATTTGTTGGCATTATTTGTCAATATTCACATTTGTCAACATTATTTGTCAATAATCACTTTTGTCGATAATCT